CACTAGGTCATTATTAACATCATTAACAAATGTTTCATTATTTTAAATGTTGTACTATAAGAAGTAAACAGTAAATAGCTGTAAATCACGCTGTTCTTAAAGGAGCATCTTCCTTCGTCTTCCTATATATCCAGTGATTTAATCTCTTAATGTTTTCATTCTATTACACTTGTCTAAACAGTGATTTCTTAGCACAAGTAACACTGTGAGTGTCATGCCTGACAGATGTTTTGTTTTCCCCTCATATTTTAGTTGTATGATTTTAATTCAGTCAGTCAGGAAATGATTGCTCAAAGTGAAACTTGTTTTTTTGTTCTTCTGAAACTGTGAGAACAGATCTGACAGCTACAATTGTGTTTGAAGAGGTTTATATGGTCAGGTTTTTCGCCAGAGAATGCACAAATACATTAAATTTGTAAAATTAGTTTTACTGCTGCTTATTTTATCAGAACTCTCAACAACACATTTATCTTTGAACACATTTTTATTTATTCAAGCTTTATTAAAAACACATCATTTATACTTTCTCTTAACCTCAGCTTGTTGTTGATTGCACCAAAAGTGTTGAAACCCATTTTTCTGTAAGTTTGAGGACTGTTGTGTTTGAAGAGAAATAGCATGATCTGGTTTTGTGTCAGAAGATGCACAAACACACAGTTTCACAGTTTTACTGCTGTTTATTTGAACTCTAAATAATACATTTAACATTAAGACATCTGTTTGCACTTTAATTTATGTGCCATAGAAGAGATTTACATTTATATTTTCTCTTGAAAACAGCTTACATGTACATATTAATGCTAGTCCAGATAAATATATCATGTCTAAACATACAACCTGTCACTTTTTTAACACAAGTCCTGCTGATCTAATGATTTTAAAGCTTATGCATTGGCTGTGACAGATTTGCTGTTCTTTTTTAATAAGGACATTGGCTCAACCTCTATATAATCTCAAGTAAAAATGCTTAAGACATGCTGCTCTAGCTTAAATATCGTGTATTGACATTGAATTGTTGCATTAAAAACAATAGCAGTAACAGCACTTTTATATTTAACTGAATATTATTGACAAGCACAAATAAACTGCACAAACCTGAATAATAACCACAACCATTAATGTTTCACTGAGGCTGAAAAAGATGACATCTGCCAAAGCATCTCAGTTTCTCTGAAGTGAAAGCAAATCTTGTCAACAGAAAAAGCATCTAGGCCACAGTTTTCTGTTTTGTGGTAATCTACAGAAGTGCTCATTTAACTGGCAGTGCAAAAGCTCAGACAGTAAAATAAAGCACACAAATGTGTCATTTAGGTGATTTGTGCTGAATCAGAGATGAGCGTTTGGCTGCGCTCCATCCTTTCTGCCAGCCGCGATAGTGAATGATTCCTCCTGCAATGACTGTAGCCAGAAAAAACACAACAATAGCCAGACCAACACCACCAAACATCAATGCCCTCTCGATCGTAGTCACTCCATCTACAGAGAGACAGAGAAAGAAGAAATATTCAGATTTGTACAACCTGAAAAGTGTTAACTGATAATTAGAACTTGTGATGGATCTCCGCAGCAGAGTTAGAACATGAAAAATTAAATGAACGACCAAGATAACAACCAACATGTTACCTGTAATGTTAACTTCTTTAGGCTTTTCTGTTACAGAAAGACCTGTAAATATATGATCAGTTCATTAAACACACACACAATGTTTTTAGTTGTTAGTTGAATATGGGAGAGTGGGTTAAGATGAGCTTTTGTTGCTTTTAAGTTGTTCTTTATGCAACAGAATACAGAAATGGTGCATAATGACATTTCAAGGCATTTATCATTTGATTTTCAGATCAAGAGAAAAAATTATTAACTGCATCCAAACTTTTGGTATGTATGCAGTGTATGTTTGTGATCTAAAAATTATATATATATATATATATACTGTATATATCAAGCATGTAAATATATTTAGCACACAAAAGCATTTTTCCCACCCATGTGCTGCTAAATCCATATATCTTAAAACAAAAATCATGTATAGATCTGGTCTTGGCTGGCTCATCGTACCCATTTCCCCCTGAGGAAAAAACTTAAATCTATTACCCTCGATCTCTAGTCTGATGGATTTGTCGAAGATCATCTCTGGAGCGTCAGATTTTGTTCCACAGAAATAAAAACCTGAATCTGACTCTGTTACTCTAGAAATCTCTAGAGAGACTCTGGTGACCCATGTGTCTGCAGTCATTTTCAGACGACTTTTGTTTTGATTGTAGTTGATCAAGAGTTTTCTTCCTGTGTCGTCCTTCTCTGCTGCAATCAGTAGATCCAGTTGTTCAGATCTCAGGCGATACCAGGCGACTTCATATTTGTTTCTCATGCTGCAGTTCAGACTGATGTTTTCTCCTTTCTGAACCCTTAACAGATCAGAAGACCCTCGCACTGATGCATCTGGAGAGACGTTGATAAAAACAGGTCCTTTTAGACCAGGTTAATAATAGCTATTTGTGGTTGATATGTTATTTTCATAATGTTTGAAGCAGAATATATTTACCATTGGATGTGATTTGCATAATCCAACAAGAAAATACACAGAAGAAAACACATTTCTCCATTGTGTCTGTTGTTCATAACGGTGTCGATCAAACTACAGGTTTCAGCACAATGCAGACTAAAGCCACAAAGGGTTTCCACTTCCTTCCAGAGCCATGTAAAGCACTGAATAATAGCCTCTATATCAGATAAAGTGTTGCATTTCCACATCAAAATGTATTAAAATTCTCATAGTTTCTCAACGCAATTTGTTTGCAAATTGTTTACTTTAGTTTGCAAAGACATTGGATAACAAGATTTGGTTAAGTGTGTGTAGAGTCCATGATCATAAATATTCCAGGATTCATTCAAGTGAATCTCTATGAAAAGCGTCTGGGAGATGCTTTTGATTAATTAATCATTTTGACCATTACATAAAATCTTTCTTTAAAAAATGTTTACTTGTCATAACATGAGTTACAGTGCATGTGTTTTCTGAAAACTGAGAGAGGAAGTCATATTTCTTGCAAGGTTATATAAAACAGGAAGCTTACGCTGCAATTCTGAAAAAGTGAACAACAAAAGTATAGAACACATTTTATGCACTATACATTGCAGTAAAGGAGTCTCATTGATCAACATTTAATTTTCCCTCTTATACTCAAAGCAATATAACTGAAATACAAGTGAAAAAACAAACAAAGACCACAAACCTAAAATTATCCCAACAATCCTCAAGAAGCGTATTGATGAATCTCTTCTGCCAGATATTGCTGGTGTTCACAAACTGAAATAATGAGGAGCATGTATAATTCAAGTATACTTTTAAAGAGATTACTGTAGTTTCACCATATTCACTCAGCCTACAATAATCACCATTTCACAGATGCACAGATATTCACTCAGTGCAGTCACAAACAGTGCAAAAACCACAATTGCTGCACTCACAAGACATGGCTGCTCACATTCACAAATATTTGATGATTAAAAACTTCACAGTCATAGTGAGGTAATAAGGAAGACACCAGAAAAAGCATGATAATAATCTGTTTGCTATATACACTTGTGTAAAATACATCAAACATTGCACTGTTCCTTGCTTTTGAGTTCCTCATATGGCTAGTGTTTATGGCAGCTTATGTTTATTTTTATCCCTGATAATTTCGGTCAAAGAGAGGATTAAGTTCATTGTTTGTACTGAATATTTACAAACACAAACTATACAAAAAAAAAAAAAAACAGTAACAATTATTCTGTCACGAATTCGGTCCATGGACTTCCGTTTATTCACCACCAGAGGTCACCCTTTCCATTACATTGACTCTCGCACAACACAAACTGTTGCATAGCACCCCGGACTACATATTCCATCATTCTTTGCACGATTTGCACACTGCACTGATTGCACTCATTGCACACAGCTGTTTCTAATCACCTCACTCACTATATAACACCCACTCTAACCACCTTTCTCTGCTGAGTATTGTTTAGCCGGTACCCCTTTCCGAGTCTCTGTGTTTTCCTTGTTTAGCCTGTATCCCTTTCCGAGTCTCCGTGTTTTCCTTGTTTAGCCTGTACCCCTTGCCGAGTCTCCGTGGTTTCCTTGTTTTGCCTTGCCTTGCCTGTTTTTGCTGTTTCTGATCTTTGCCTGTTTTCCTGGATTTCTCCCTCTCGTCTCGCCCCTGTGATTCTGTCTGCCGATCGGTGACCTACGCTAGCCCTAGGACTATTCTTGTGTTTTTGCCCGCCATATACCTGTTTGCCATTGTTCGACCCTGCCTGTTATACCACGTCTCTTTAATAAAAGCTTGCAGATGGATCCACACGTCTCACGTCTCGTCAGCCCCGTTACAGAATACTCAGCCCAACAAGGATCCAGCGGCTTTTCCAGAGGACTCTGGCCAGGTATGGACCCAGTCACCCAGCTACTACATCTTCGGCAAGGAGGCCTTTCTATTGAGGAGTATGTTCACCGGTTCTGTGTGCTATCTTATCAAGTTCCTCTGTATGATGAAGTTTTGTTTAAAGACTTGTTCCGTTTTGGACTGGATGAACCCACGAAATCTTGGTTACCTGGAGAGGAATGATGGGATATGTAGTCCGGGGTGCTATGCAGCAGTTAGTGTTGTGCGAGAATCAATGTAATGGAAAGGGTGACCTCTGGTGGTGAATAAACGGAAGTACATGGACTGAATTCGTGACTTATTCAATATAAAAAAAAATATGATTCTTATCAGATGTGGTTCACAACACGTACAAATGACATTTAAAAAAAATAAAATAACTGAATAACCTTAAAATAGTGAGTAGTTAAAGGCAGAAGCAGCATGTAAAAAAATATATATATATATCTAAAGGCATTTAACATGGGAAAAACAACTCGGCAGGAACCGAGACTCAACTTCGGACACATTTTTCCTTGTGTTGACATATTTAAACAGATCTATTATGAATGTCACATACTTTACTAAAACAGACCTTAATAATGCACACTTTCACTGTGGGATGTAGCCTAGTAATTGATTTCCTGGGGCATTTTTACCTTTGTGGACATTTTTCTACCTTGGATGTATGCATAATATTTTGTCAAATTCTTACATTTAATAAATATATTCAGACAATACTGTCCAAAATTTTGCTTTCTTTATATTAACTTCTTGTTTACTGAACTGTTGTATAAAATCTATATCACATTTGCAATCATGCAGATATTTGGGAAGAAAAGCACTCTGGCTCAGCTATTTTATGATATAAGACTAAAACTCATACAGGGGCATTTTGGCCTCATAACTTGAATTTCGTGGTTAGTCTAACGGCATTCTGCTAGTCTACAGCATGCAGTGAAAGTGTGCACTATCAAGGTCTGTTTTTGCGAGGTGAGTGACATACTTGATAATGTCAGCTTCTTTATTGTAAAACCAACAATTGTGATATTATTGTAGATGATACATATTGCACACCTCTAGCTGCAGACATATACTGACAGAATCCTCAGAAGATCTGTTGGCACTGAAGGCATATTACAATTACAATTCTTACGATTATAATATAACAATTATTGTAACCAGTGGTGTTGCTAGATGTTCTGGGCCCCTTGTGTAATTTCTTCCATTGGGACCTCTTGGTAAGGATCAGGTTCTGGGTTCCTCTGTTGACACTGGGGTTTCTTGATGACAACAAATATAATCAGAACCAGAACCAGAACCCCAGACACCACAGGCAGCACGACAGACAGTACAGCTGGAAGGGGAAGGTGAGAAGAGAACACAATTTTTAAAATGTCACTGCTTAAAAGATTTTGTAAAGCTCTTAATGCCTCCTGTTTACTTACTATCTTTTGGGTCGTTAATTTTGTCTTTCTCTGATTCTGTACTATATTCTGTAGAGGATATTGAAAAGTTAGTCATACAATTTAGCATCAGTTTGCTGTTCAGATAATGATGAAAAACTTCAGCTGTCAAATACCTCAGATATTTCTAAACATCCACTGTACTTCTCTCACCTCTGACAGTCACTGTGATTAAGGTGTTATTTTCAGAGTCCAGAACTCTGTATGTTCCTGTATCATTGGCTGTAAACCCTTTAATGGTCAGGTTTCCATCACTGTCAGTCAGATGATGATCCAGGACCCCATGGTTTCTGTTCCACACCTCCCTCCAGTCTCCACTGGAGTTTGTCTCCACTTTTTCAGCACTGGCCCTCAGAACATCTAACTTCAGCTCCTCACCGATTTTCACTAAAGTCTCATCTGAGGAGAAACAGAAGGACAGCTATCCTTAATCATTATTATATTGGTGCCAATCAATCAAGGCCTTAAAGGGGACATCAGATGCAAAAATTGATCTTAAATGTGTCTTGGCAGTATGTGTACACAAAGACCCTGAAATCATAAAAATCCACCAAGTGCTTTTTTTTTAATCCCCACAAATCATAAGCACTGTTTCAGATCAAGCCATTCACAGATTCTTGGCAAAGAGACGTCACTTTGATCAGGCCCCTCCTATGACTGTTGACAGATGCTGACTTTTTAGCATAGACCCATCCTGAGTGAACTGTAAAGAGTCCGCCATTGTTTCGACGCCGCAGTAGATATAGACAAGAATGGCTCCTAACAAAGCGATTGAGGTGTTTTGTTGTTAGATGTAAGAATGAGCATGGCAGTCGTCATTTACTCCTAACATCTGAGCGCTGAAGACGCAGTGGATTGCTTTTGTTTTTGAAGGGATTGCACCCCCGTTCTACCTAAATGCGTTTTTTTTGTCTGCACGAATCATTTTACACTATGCTTTGTAAACAAGGGTCAGTACAAAGCAGGGGGCGGGGTTGTTTCGGGTGGGAAGCGTGCAATCTGCGATCGCGTGCAGTTGCTGATGCTAAAGAAAGTATGCAATGCCCCCCCTTGGCGCTGGCCCTGAGTAAGTATAAGCATTTTTTATTAATCTTTGCAAATCGCCTCTCCTAATAATGTGCCACTGAGGAAGCAGTGTATTAGTTTTGTTTTTGATGGTAATGCGCCTAAATTTGTTTATGTCTGCGCAAATCATTTTATTCCAGACTGCTTTCTGAATGAGGGCCAATTCAAGGCAGGTTTTGCTAAAAAGTTCAAACTCAAGGATGGATCAGTACCCACTGTTGGTGATCCAGCTCCACCTCCAGAAGTAGTCAGTCTCACATTTTATATTTGTAAGTTTATTTGCAAATCGCTTTTCCTCTTCCATGGAAGAGAGGGGCGGGGTGAGCAGAGTTCATTAGCATTTAAAGAGACATGCTCGCTCCGAACTGAGCTGTTTTTGACAAGGTAAAATGGGGGTTGTTTTACACGACCATTGAGGAATTTTGACCAAAGTGTGTGTTAGAAAATGTCATGCTCTCTGCCAAAATGTTTCTGTGAGTTTGCCGGTGTGTGCTCTCTCTTACCCTCCCTTTATTTCCCCTTGTGCTTTTCCCTCCTCCTTTCTGTGTTCTCTCGCTCTACTCTCGTTAGTCATACCTCTCTCTATCTCAATGTATACAGACATGCGCATATACTTCTCGGGGGTTCAAATGGTGAAGGATGGTGGGGGCCTCCTCAGACCCAGGTTGCTGGGTTCAGTCTGTCCTTTGCTCAGAGTTGAGGTATCCTTCTCCCAGATGTACTCCTTAATATGTCCATAACTTCCTGCCCATATTCCCATTTTATATAACACACATATGTAATCCATATTCTTATTGGATAAACCACTACACCACCCCTTACATAATAATACTAATAATAATCTGACACAGCTCTTGCCTCAAAATTGTGAAATCATTCTGGCCCCTCTTCCTTAATAATTTCTGATGCAAGTTCAAATGGATAACAAATGTCATAAATTTTAACTACTAAAAAAATGTTGTAAGGATATTCTAACATCAGATGTGCGATTGAGTTGTGGTAGAGTGAATGTTGTTTTATCACTTTATCACTCCTCTGGCCACTGCTGGTCTACGACGTCCCCCTAACCCCTGTCGAGGTCTTTGAGAGGAAGATCAGCCACTCTCTACGTAGGTGGTTGGGTCTCCCGCATAGTATCACCAGCATAGCCCTATATGGAAGGAAGAACAAGCTTCAACTCCCCTTCAGTGGCCTATCAGAGGAGTTTATGGTTTCCCGAGCAAGAGAGGTACTGCTATACAGAGAATCCAATGACACCAAAGTTTCCTCAGCTGGCATTAAGGTGAGGACAGGTAGGAAGGGGAGGGCCCAGGAGGCAGTCGACCAGGCTGAAGCATGGCTGAGGCACAGTGTGCTGGTGGGGACAGTGGCGTCAGGATGCGCAGGGCTTGGCTGTTACCAGAAACCTCGGTATGATTAGGCCTGGGGAAAGGACAGGCGTCAACTGGTCCAAGAAGAAATTCGAGCAGGGGTGGAGGAAAGATGCATCAGTAGGATGGTGGGGATGCGACAACAGGGGGCGTGGACTCGATGGGAACAAGCAATGGACTGAACAATCTCGTGGACTGAGCTGTGGAAAGTGGAGCCATACCGGATCCAGTTCCTTATCCAATCAGTCTACGATGTCCTCCCCAGTCCAACCAACCTCTTCTCATGGGGCCTGAAAGACACCCCTGCATGCCTCCTGTTCCAAAAAAGAGAATCCGTGGAGCATTTATTAAGCTGCTGCCCTAAGGTGCTGGGAGAGGGACGTTATCGGTGGCGCCACGACCAAGTGCTAAGGGTAATTGCTGGAACCATCCGCACCAGAATCTCTCTTAGCAAGCACCAGCAGCCAGTACAGTACGCAATCACATTTGTTAAGGCGGGAGAGAAACCACAAGGGAGCAGGAACTCAGCGGAGGGAATTCTAGCAGCAGCTCGAGACTGGCAGCTAAAAGTTGACCTGGGAAGGCAGCTCAGATTTCCAGAAACCATCACCACGACCACACTTAGGCCTGACATGGTCCTATTTTCAGAATCATCAAAGCAGGTGGTTCCACTGGAATTGACTGTGCCCTGGGAAGACCGGATGGAAGAGGCATTGGAACAGAAGAGGGCCAAGTACGAGGAGTTGGCAGGTAAATGCTGTAACAGGGGATGGAAGACCCACTACCTCACCATTGAGGTTGGCTGCCGAGGGTTTGCCGGCCAGTCATTGTGCAGGGCCATCAAGCTCTTGGGAATCAGGGGACTGCACAATAATAAAGCCATCAGGAACATCATGGATGCCGCGGAGAAGGCATCAAGATGGCTGTGGATCAAAAGGGGCGATTCATGGACTACACAAGCTACCTAGACACAAGTCAGGGACTGATCACCCCTGGCTGGGTCGCCTGGGTGAGGGTGTATGATGTTGAAAGACCTGAAACACCCGATGACCCCAGGTAACATCACTGATGATGTGCCTAGGGTGCACCTGGAAGGTGCATGTCAAATTAATTACAATGTATCTATATAATCTACTGATGTAATAATAAACTTTGAAGAAGTTTGTGGACAGACTCCATGTTCATTACTCTTCCCATGGCCCCATACATTCATGAATGGTGGGAACTGAGAATACTTTGGTGGCGACGAGAAATAATGGGGTCAGTTAATATTAATTATTAACAGTATGTTATAAACTTTTCACGAAGACCCTAAAGAATCATACCAACTTGTGGAAAATGGGCATCCAATATCCCTTTTAAACATGTATTTAGGATTAAAGGGACCAAATGTAATCATTTAAAAATCAGCCACTGAAAAGCCTATATTGATGATGACTAATCTGAATATTAAGCTTGTCAAGTCAAGTCACATTTATTTATATAGCGCTTTATACAGCTTTACAGTGTCAAACAGGAAAAATGTTTGTTAATAATGCAAGAGGACAATAGAAAACAGTCGGTTCATTGTTGATTCAGTGATGTCATCGTCCAGCTCAGTTCAGATCAAATAGTGTCTGTGTAATCAAGTCGTCAATATTGCCAGAAATTAAGCAAGCCAAAGGTGACAGTGGCAAGGAACCAAAACTCCACTGGTGACAGATGGAGCTTGTCCCATTCAGAGTCTCTGCTGCTTACATGAAATCCACACAGTTACTAAAGGAAAACCAGAAAACACATGCTGATGGTTTGATCAGTTTTGACTTTACCATGAATATGAAGATGGTACTCCCTTTGTTGCTTCAGCTCTGTCTGATCATTGCCGTAAAAGACTCTCAGAATGTATTTCCCAGCATCACTGAAGATCAGATCCTTGATGACGACATCACAGGCTTTTATTTTAAATGCTCGTCCACTACAGTTTTCAGTCTTACAAACAGGAATGTTTTTTGACTGACGCTTTAAAATAACATTAAAAATGTCTCTGTCTTTTAATTCACAAGGCAGGGTGGCGTTGCTTCCCTTTTTTACAAGTATAGAGGTGGTTTCTGCAAACACAGACAGTACAATATTCATTCAATACAAAGCGTCAATGCTGTTGTTTAATATTATAAATGTATAAGGAGTTATTTTAGTCACTAAGTGGATTCAGTAATTATGAACTGATGGTGGCGTTTCTCCAATATTTAGCAGTAGAAATGCCAGTAAAGATTCAGATTGAATTAAAATGTCCTTCATCAAATGTCTGAATGACACAGAGTAACAAACAACTAGACTAACTCTACCTGGAACTGAATATTAAGAATTGTCACCATTTATAAACAAAAATCAAACTGACCGCTAGAAATAACAAAGCAAAACAGCAGCAAAAGATTCCAGAACCAGCTGAACCTGAAAACAGAAGAGATGTCACGTGACAGAATCAGGCTATAGCTACACTTCATTTATACAGGGATAAAATGCTTTGAGCAGTAAAATGTTACTAAATATTCACTTTAATTTTGTCTGAATATTTAACACATGTGGATCAAACATGATAAAAATGTCCAATAAGAAACATAAAATTCTTATCTGAATCTTTGGTTTAATAAATTATTGCTGTGTAGCTAATAGGCTACTCAAAACGACCAGTCAAACCCAATGCACAAACAACAGGTTTAACAAATTCAGTAGCAATCAAAAATGTATATTAATAAACCCACTAATAAAAAAACATCGTCATAATCATCATTATCATCATAATCTCATACGGACACATGTCGACTCACTTCACTTCCGCATCACTAGCAGGTTTAATTTTTCACAAACAAAAACACAACTATTGGTGTAAGAACACAACAACACACAGGCTGGATTAATATTTATAAACATGAAAACTTACATGGTGAAACTGAGTCTTATGTTCAGGTGTCAAAACTTGTAAAGCACAGCATGTTTAGCCAGATTTGAGTAAAAATGAAACCAAAAGTGTCCAAAGGTACTTTTGAGCCTCCAGCAGGGTTGCCAGGTTTTCACAACAAAACCCGCCCAATTGCTACCCAAAACTTGCCCAAAACCCAAAGCGTGTTCCGGGGGGTAAAATATATGTTTTTTTGGCAGGTTCCTCTGTAAAATCCGCATTCCAGGAGCTTACTATCACGTTACTGGAGTTGCTTCAACCCGTGGACATGGAAAAGTAAAAAGTAGTTAAAGTTAAAGTAAAAGTAGCCCAGTTCGGCAGTAACATCACAGACTTGGCAACACTGGTCTCCAGAAACAAAGAATATTTGGCACCTCCTACTAAGGAGGAGTCTGATCAGTCATTATTTTTCTCTCTCTGCTGGTTATTCTTCCAAAAAGCAGATTGAGCTGTCGGAAAATGATTTTGTGAATTATTTATTTAATCATTCCCATTTGGATTTAATAATTATCTTTAACAGTCTGCCTTTTGTAAGACCCAAAATGATCTCCCCATGAAACCAAACTTCAGGAACTCTCACAAAACAGATGCCATGCAACAAAACAATAAAACTAATCTGGAGAAGAGATCTCCAAAAAGAGCATTGCCCAAACTTCTCTCCTTTGCAGGGGCGTAGCCATCATCTCAGTAGTAAGGGGGAAAGAATTGTTATATATACAGTGGGTACGGAAAGTATTCAGACCCCCTTAAATTGTTTTTGAACAGTAAAATTTGTTATGTTTTTTAAAGACTTCTCTTCTGCTCACCAAGCCTGCAGTTATTTGATCCTAAGTACAGCAAAAGCAGTAATATTGTGAAATATTTTTACTATTTAAAATAACATGCTTAATATTTGAATATATGTTAAAATATAATTTATTTCTGTGATGTGCAGCTGTATTCTGCTCAAGAAACCTTTTTTAATTATTATTATTATTAATATTTAAAACAGCTGAGTACATTTTTTTCAGGATTATTTGATGAATAGAAAGATGCAAAGATTAGGATTTATGTGAAATAAAAAGCTTTTGTAACATTATACACTATACCATTCAAAAGCTTAGAGTCAGTATAATTTTTATTTTTCGGAAAATAAATTATAGAAATTAATACTTTTATTTAGCTAGGATGCTTTAAATTGATCAAAAGGGATGATAAAGACATTTATAATGTTACAAAAGATTTCTATTTCAGATAAATGCTTTTTTTCTGAACTTTCTATTCATCAAAGAATCCTGAAAAAAATTATCCTCAGCTGTTTTCAACATCATCATAATAATAAATGTTTTTTGAGCAGCAAATCAGAATATCAGAATGATTTCTGAATTTCTGAAGGATCGTGTGACTGGAGTAATGATGCTAAAAATTTAGCTTTGAAATCACAATACATTACATTTTAAAATAAATTGAAATAGAAAACGGTTATTTTTATAAGTAAAAATATTTCTAAATTTTACTGTTTTGTGTAGGGTTGCCACCTTCAGAGAGGTAAAATAAGGGACACCCATTCACGAATCCCCCCCTAAAAAAAAACCGGAGGACACAAGTAATCGGTGAGAAACTCATAGCTCAACAGTAAACCATGAGAAGACATGCTCATGTATGTAAACTTGCAACAGATCACATTAATATTGTTATTTTAAATTTACTTATTTATAATTATTATTATTAGGTTTTTTTGACAGTTCTACAGCTGTTACCTGGATGAAATTATAATTTTTGTTATTATTATTAATTTGCTTGAATTAGGACTACATTATCTAATTATTTGTCCCATTTTTATCTAAACAATTTAGCTTTTTTTTTTACATTTTTGAAATGCTAAATTGCTTATGACATACTGTATATGGTTTATTATGTATATATTTATGATTAATATCAATAATAAATCAATAAATAGGGCCTAACATTAATTATAATATATTAATTTATCTGTCTAATCATGTCTAAAAATATAATAATTATGTCTACCAAGCTTTGATATTGTATGGGATATAATAGGGTCATACGATGCTGCTAGAAAGAACAGTATTTTGTGTATTTGGTGTAATGAAATGTGTTTATGCGTTTTAAGGTTAAAAAAACACATTATTTTCTACATACTGTACATTATTGTTTCTCCTCTATGCCCCGCCTTTCTGAAACGCGTAGATTTTTACAAAGCTCATCGGTCTGAAAAGCGAGGTGTGCTGTGATTGGCCAGATATCCAGTGCTTTGTGATTGGCCGAATACCTCAAGCATGTGACGGAAATGTTACGCCCCTCACCATACTGTGATGCCCTGTCCGGCCGGAGCGACGAGACAAAAACATTAAAACCCATTATAAACGAGATAGTCGGTGCATCCAGTGGGGACATAATTACGGATTATAATGACTTACACTGTCTTTTTACGCGTCGCGTTGCATCGCGCCACGTAAACATAAAACCGTGTCTGCATTTGTGATCGGAGAAATGACAAACAACAAGCGCTACTCTACACTGCTCAAAAAACTTGCTTTAAATATATAAAATATAAAAACTCTTTCAATATAAAAGACTACTTACAGTCTGTGAGTCAGAACAGCCGGCATTGTTGTCTACTCTCCCAGGATCAGGAGACAGTCCTCCATAAAATGTGCTGCACACATCTGAATATTTGGGTTGAAGTGTTCGGGAGAGGCGGAAGGGCTAGAGTGAGCAGAGGCCGGGGGCTAGTGTGAGGAACGGCGGGAGGGCTAGAGTGAGCAGAGGCTGCCTGCCTCTCACGATGTGGGAAGATTTGCATAACGCCGCCCAAATGTTCACGCAAAGAAAGAAGGCATAACTTTTATTCTGACTGTAGTATTGTTGCCGCCGCCATGTCTTGAAGACGTTGTGTACTTCGTTGTGAAAGCGAAACTACTTTGTTTGGCCTTCCAAAAGAGGACGATATCTGCTTCGTCATGCCTGGAGCTGATCTGTGCTGGTCGCTGAGGAAATACATCAACTTCGCGCAGTGGATTGCCGGATCGGCTTTCACCGTGGACGAAGCGTCCAGCCCGGGGTCGTCACAGTGGTTGCCACTCCTTCGTCGGATCCGCCGGGCGCGCCGTTCTCAACCCCGCCGCCTCTGCTCACTCTAGGCCACCGTGTTTTTCGTTGTGAAAGCGAAACTGCTTTGTTTGGCTTCCAAAAGAGGACACGACTAGAAATCAGTGGTTAAGTTGTATTTACAACACTGTTCCAGAACACTTCAACCCAAATATTCAGATGTGTGCAGCACATTTTATGGAGGACTGTTTCCTGATCCTGGGAGAGTAGACTACAATGCCGGCTGTTCTGACTCACAGACTGTAAGTACGTTTTTTATATTTAAAGAATTTGCCACTGACGATTCAAACGTGAGTTTTGAGCAGTGTAGAGTAGCGCTTGTTGTTTGTCATTTCTCCGATCACAAATGCAGACAGGGTTTTATGTTTACGTGGCGCGATGCAACGCAACGCGTAAAAAGACAGTATTAGTCATTATAATCAGTAATTATGTCCCCACTGGATTAGGGATGCGCCGATCCGATATTCATAATTTTTTTTTTCCCGATTGTGCGAATTATTCTGTTACTTCTGAAGCCATATGATAGCTTAACCCTTTAAGCAGTGTTCCATGATTTTTCATGTAAAGACATTTTAGTGGGTACTTTTTTTTTTTTAGCACCTGATTACAATTTCTACCAAATCACATTGATTTATATCGTTCGCACAAAATACAGTTACCTGGTTAGCCTGCTGTCTTATACACCAAAGTTGCACATACCCTGTTTATTCAGATCAGTCTGTAATGTTATCAAATAAGTGTTAAATGTCCAGATATTTCATTTAATAACAACAATTATGTAATGTGTTCTGTTGTTGTTAGTAATAGTAGAATCAGGTTCGCAGTAACTTTTGATCATGCATTAAAAACAGCTATCACGATTTCGATGCTAAACTATTGCATAATTTTAAGTACGATTTGTAGTCAGTGGGTTCTAAAGTTACCATTGCAACCAGCTATAATCATAAGAAAATGCCATCAGACAAAATAACGACTTTACTCACTCGTTGAGTGTGATTTTCATCCTCCATGCTGAAATCTCTATCTGTTATAACAGGTGCAAGCGTATGCAGAGTTTCTATTTAGGCTATAACATGTGTTTGCAGCGTTGAGCAATGCAGTGCTGAAATTTGCGTGCTCATGAATCCTCATTATAACACACGAATTGTAGACATTATGATTAATTATGCTTATATTTATTGTGTTATAACAGAGATTTGTGAGATATTATAACTATGAACTGAGATGTATTTAAGAGACTATAAATGCAGCGCTCTTTACTGGCATTCTGTCATACTGTAACAACGCGCAGTTGTTCTATAGAACTAGGGCTATGCTAGGCTACTAAACTGTTGCTAAGCTAATTGCTGACAGGCTGCTAGTATGTACACGTCTAGAATTTTAATTTGGTTATGGCAAAGCGCGAACATTCGCATCCAACACGATGCACAACCCTGAATATCATTGTGAGCAGAAGCTCAGACAGAAGAAACCCGCAGGAGACAGTACCATCGTCTTTCTCCTATTGTTCTAAACACAGATTAAGAACATACAGAAGCAAGGCCATATCGCCAAGTGCCTCCCCTACACATCTCTCTCCATGACGGTGACAGCCACACTGTTTATAACAAGGCAGTAATTGAACCAAACCCACCCGAACTAACTTGAACATAAACACAAATAACATTGCTAATGCAAAAACTCAACCATCTTGCTTAATTAACACATAAATCAACTCTAAACAAATACCCATAATGCACCTGGCTGCTAGCGCTCACTGCCGGGTCATTACAATACCAAACCATGCACGCAGCAGCCGCATGCTTTAGTTAAAATAAGTGTTCTGTGAATGTTGATGCTTTAATAACAAATACTTATCGGGAGCGTGTATGCTGGGATGTCATAAATGTAATGGAGAATAAAGTAACAGTAACTAGTAATGTAACTA